ACGCCTGAAACCTGCACGGTCGGCTGCGTACGGGCCGGTAGGAAGCATTCCCCCTCGCCACTACTGAAGTTAAAGCTTCACTTCTAAGCCAGGACCAAGGTCACAAGCGCTGCCAAGGGCACAGCTGAAAGGAAACCCCCCATGAATCCTGACCTCAGACACGGCACCGCACACACCGGGCACACCACACCTGCGTTCCCCACCCGCTCACGGGCACTTACCGCTGGGAGCCGCCGGGCTCTGCTGGTCCTGGTTCCCGGCAGGGTCTAAAGCGATTCTGCGAGGGAAAGAAACCAAATAACGCTTGTGGACCCCGACAGCGCCGGGGAGACACCCGACGGGGGGGGGGGGGAACACCTCCCTCCCGCCCGCCCCGAGCGAGCGCGGTACCGCTGCGGCCGCCTCACCGGCTCCAGCCACCCGGGCTCCCAATGCACGAGTCCTGCTCGAGCGGCGACGCCTGAGGAGACAGCCCCGCTCCGCGAGTCACCCCCATGGCGCCGGGCCCCACCGCGCCTGTGCGGCACCGCCCCGCCCGTGACGCTGCCTGTGCGCCCCGCGCATGCGCACTGCTGGCTGGCGGCCGACGGAGAAGCGCCGCCCACGGCCGGGACCGCGCGTAGGTGAGCGGGACCGGGACCCCCATCCCCGGGACTCCCATCCCCGGGCGTAGCTCCGGTTCCCCCCCCAGAGCCGCGAACCGGGACCGCCTCCCCAGCGGTTCCTCGGCGGGGGTGCCGGTGCCCAGGCGCTGCCAGCGGGCCCGGGTGTGGGCTCTCCGCGGTTCGGAGCCGTTCCGCGCAGCCCCGGAGCTGAAGGAAACGTCCCTTTTCCTCCCGCAGCCCTTCAGAGCGCTGGAAGATGTCCGGGTTTCTGGAGAGCCTGAGGTGCTCGGAGTGCGTTGACTGGGGAGAGAAGCGGAACACGATCGCGTCGGTCGCTGCCGGAGTGCTGGTGCGTGCGGCTGCGCTCGGGCTCTTCGGAGCAGTGAGCTGGGGGTGAGCTAGGAGCTGTTGTCCCTTTGGAGGTAAAAGGAGGAACAGGGAGATGTTCTCCTCCTGTGTAGCGTTAATGACAAAACCCGTTCTGGGTGCTTGCATCCCTGTCTGAGGTTTCGCAGCTTCTACCCGTTTAGTGGCTCCTGGAGCAGGTAAATCTCTGGCTTTGCATTTAACCTTGTTCCTCAGTCCATGGCAAAACCGGTGGTGCTGTCATCAGACTCAAGGTTGGGGTCTAAAGGAATGATTTTCTGTACTAATGTCACTCTTTGCAGAGCTGTCTCGTTAAAACGCTTGTGCCCACATTTGAAGTTGTTGTGCTCTTTCTTCTTTTGAAACAGTTTTTCACAGGTTGGTGGATAATCATAGATGCAGCTGTAAAGTACCCTGAAGTGGAAGACTTCAACCATTCATACCATGCTTGTGGGGTTATAGCCACTCTGGCATTCCTAATGTAAGTGCAATTTCTTCGTGAGAGCTAAAGATTCCAACTTGCTTTGTGCAGTTAATTAGGGAACACGTGGGCTTTAAATGGAGAGGGAACTAAGAATAAAACATCAAGTTATTGTGTCTCATCTGTCTTACATTTATTGATACTTAGAATACGGAACCACTTAAAAAGTTAAATGTTGTACAAGTCCAAGGTTTTGGAGAAATGTTTTTTACTATTTCGAGCTTAATAAAACGATGAAGCTTTAGCCTTATACCCTTAAAAACAAATACATAAGAAATACATGATTTTATCCTTTTTCTGTAGGTTTCTGAGAGGTTTCCTATTGCTTTGTAAAGATACTTTTTGATTTACCCATGTTTACCCAGTTTGATCCTGTTTTGCTCGTGCAGGATCAACGCGGTATCTAATGGCCAAGTGCGGGGTGACAGTTACAGTGAAGGCTGCCTGGGACAAACAGGTACAGAGCTGTGGGCTGTTGGGTAGTGACAGGTCTGGGAAGCCACAGAGCCTTGGAAGAGCCATGAGGGCTGTTCCTTGTGTGGCTCCCAGACCAAAGCACCCTGAAAGTCAGGAGTGTCTGGACTCAGACACAGGCACAAAACATCCCCCTGTGGTTTTCAAGGTGCTCGGATCTGGCTGTTCATTGGTTTCATGATGGCTTTTGGATCTCTGATTGCTTCCATGTGGATCCTTTTTGGAGGCTACGTTGTTAAAGGTAAGATATGGTGTGGAATGTGACCTGATCTGGTTCTGAAAGTTTGAAGGTATTTTAAATGATGATGAATTTTAGAACAGTGCACTGGCTTTTGTTTTCGAAAGGAAGTTGGGTCACTTGAGTACATGTAACAGCCAGCCCTGCCGGTGCCTGAAGCTGCAGTGAATTCCACACTAGTGAGGTGCTTTGGTTTAATGCACACTCTTGTCAGCTCTGGCCTTACTCAAGGGGATTTTCAAAGAAAGCCAAGTGCCCAAGGTGCACAGCAGTGCTAATGTGCACTCCCCTTTTGTACATTGTCACTATACATGACCATACACGTGTACATACTGACACACACATATGTTCCAAACAGGATGTGCAACATGGTGCGATAACTGCAGTCTACATCAGCACTGCATGAGAGGCACATGTTTGGTTAGAGAACAGGACATACTTCTTCTCTTTGGAAAGCTAAATGACTGGGGGGAAGGAGATGACACAAAAAGCCATTGAATTAACTTTCTAGTGGGGTTAGGCTGATCGTTGTCTTCTGAGAACGGAGTTTGGAGAGGATTTTCTGGAGACATACATGGAGATTTCTTTCTTTTGATAGAAAAACCAGTAGTGTACCCAGGAATAGCTGTGTTCTTCCAGAATGCATTCATCTTTTTTGGGTAAGACAATCTCTTTTTGTTTGTTTCATCTAATTTGTTTTTAATGATAAAAACTGAAACTTGCTGTAATCTGGTTCCTCAAGTCCTGTTTCATAACCAGACAAGTGAATAAACTGCATATCAAGGCAGCAGATATCTGGGGTTTGTCTGCATAGGTTTCATTGCAGGACCAGGAAATGGATTTACAAATACCATAGTTTGCTTCCTGAAATCTTGTATTTAACGTCATAGGTGTTTGATTTGCTCCATGATGTACTCGTATCCCTTTATTTTCTTTTAAACAGAGGACTGGTCTTCAAATTTGGTCGCACAGAAGACTTGTGGCAATGAACACGCCTGTGGAAGTGCATTGGCCACGCTGGGTTTTTAACTGCACACTCCCAATGTTTTGTAAAGCCATTTTGTAAAGGGTGACCTTCAATTGTGTCTGAAGATAAACCCAGGAAAACTCAAATCATGGCACTAAAAATCCTGGTTCTGTGCTGTTTCATTTTTTACTCTTGTATGCTGATCGCAATGTGTAATGGTTTTGACACATGTAGAATTGCTGCATGTCACAACAGAAGTCACTTTTGTGCTACCATGTTTGCTGCAAGTAAATAGTGTAGTGGAAAATGGATGTATTTAACCAGCTGTTTCTACAACATTAATTACAATCTGAGACTTACTAAAAATGCTTTAAAACAACTTTTTAACATCTATTTATTAAATATTTCCTATATCTGGACAATATAATCATTTTTTCCATTTCAAAATTTACTGCTGTGTGCCTTTTCTTGCGTAATACAGAACTATGCTGCTCTGGAATTCCCCCCCAAACACACTATGGCAGTAATGGGGAAGTCTCTGGTGAGTAACAACTCACTGTTGCTGTGGATGATGCCGTAGAGGCACAAGTACAAGTTGTGCAGTGGCTCTAGATGGAAGCAGCTCATCCACAGACCTTGCTGTCAGCTGTTTTGCAACCACTGTGAAAAGAGTTCTGTCTTTGGCAGGGAGAACAGTCACTGCCAGAGAGAATGCTGATCCTGTGTCTGCCCCTTCCTATGTATTCACCTGGGTTGCTGCTCAAGAAATAATGATGAAAGAGATGCGGGGAAAAGAGGGTGAATAAATTGCTATTCCTTAGCAGCATTCCTGCTAGAAAACAGCTGTTGGTTTGGCTGCTGGGAAGTGAAGGACACCAGTTGAGCCTGGATTGCACTGTGGCACAGGTAGTAGTGCATAGCATGTTAACTGTGACAAACCAACCATCAAATTGTCATTTTCTTTTATTAGATAAGCATTTTTTAATAAGTTTTTCTGTGTCAGCTATTTTGGAACAATGAAGACACACCAGGGATCACAATCCATTTAAACACAAGGGTTCACTTGCCCCATCAGGCCTGAGCTTGGCACAGGGTAAACCAGCCCAACATACACCACCCTGGGATTCATATCACCCAGGCCCAAGCACTGTCCCCATAGCCTCCCCTGCTGCCTGCACTTAGGGCAGCCAGAGCCCTTTGGGCACTGTCCCCACACGGACAGGCTGTGCTGAGTTTTACTGCCAATCTGAGTAAGTATCGTTGGTGACAAGGGCACCAGCCACAAGCAGAACAATTTCACTCCTTGTCATCTGAGCTTCCAAATAGATAGCTTGAGCCAAGGGATTATAGATTTTTCTTTAAGCTGTCAGATAACTCAAGAGCTCAGTCTGGCAGGATACAGAGTTCTGGCCCTGATCCAGCTCGCTCATCAAATCCCTGCTTAACAAGGCCTTCAACAGAATTAATTTAGCTTAAAAACAAGTACTTGCATGCTTCGCTAGAGAAGAATGAGTATGGACACTTGGAAAAATTGTACTTTAACATACTTACTTTGGCTTTGGGAGCTAAAAATAGTGTAAGGTTTCCAAGCATTTTGATTGATAAGCCATTACAGCGATGAATGCAGCCAACTTTTTTGTAGCAAAAAATATTTAAGTTCAACAAAACAGTTAAATGCATCTGTAAATTCACACTGTATCTTTCAAGAATAACTAGTACAGTTTATTACTAGTTTTTTAGGTGCCCATTGGGATGGCTTTCTTGAGCCTCGGTCAAATCACTCATCTGGGTTCTTCTATTCAAAATCCAACAGCCAAGTGGGGAAACTGAAAACAAACATTCTTGTATCAGAACATTTTATGCACCAAATCATAATACAAAACAGGCAGTGGAAAACCTTACTAGAAGGTTATTTTCATCCATGTCTTTTTTCTGTAATTCAGATACAACATCACCTTCAGCATTCGAAGGTGCCCAAGGCCTGTGTTGAAGCATCAGGCTGAGCACCACCCTGCACCCAGGAAGGCCGAGGGGCTTCCAAAATGTACTGTGAAATGGAATTTTCTTTTCTTTCTCATTTTAATTTCAGATACCCAGAGCTCTTCACCAAGGTGCTCTATGTTCTCCCACACAGTTCACCTGACATTGAAACTTACCTCCCAGTAAAACTGGTCTTCAAAGTACTTGGATACAGGGATGCTCTTGAACAGTCTGAGGTTTAAGATTAAACCTATTTGCAAAAACACATGTATCCATTATGAATATATACATTAGGGAAAGGGGATGATTGTGTGTAACTGGAGGTTTCTTAGTAACCCACATGCAAATGTAATGTACATCAAATACAAATAACACTTCAGCAGAGCCCCTTGACTCAAGCTGACCTTAAATACAAAGAAGCTTGCCAGGATCAAGGCTTGTGTTATTAAACATTAATTACTCAAGGTAAAACCCCATTAAATAGCTTGCCAGACTCTAAAAATACATCCAGAATTAGTCTTGCATGAAAAATGCCTGTGTATTTAAAGTAGCGGGGCTCAGAGCACTGCTAGCTTGGGATTTCAGATGGAAACATTTGGACTTCTAAACAATTGGTTAAACACTGTATTTTGAATTCTTCTAGCTGGATGTGTTTTAGAAATCTGCTTGATGAGCTCAACATCATTACACTTGTGGCAGCACAAAGGTTTGAGATGAATTAAAACACACACACAAAATGATTGTAGAGTGTGTTTCACAGCAGTTTTCATCTGCCATTTCTCTTTTATTCAAGATAGAATCAACAGCTACAGAAAAACTGCAGCTGCCAGGATGTCACACGGGGAACACATGAGCCCTGGTGGCCCCAAACCACTCATGACTGCAGCCCTGTGCTTGGCTGGTGCCCGCCAGCTACAGACACTGGGGAACCTGGCAGATTCCTACCCACTGGCCTAAAAAAGTGGCAAGTGCTAGACAGCATTTGTGTCACAGATACCCAAATGTAAAAATAGTTCCACCCTCACACATCTCCTGTCTGAAATGTGAAGGCAGCTGTTAAGCATCTGTTAAAATAAGCTTTGCCAATGAAGGAATGGTGCTAGTAGGTTATTCGTGCAGAATACATCTTAAATACAGGGCTTTGAAGAGTCCCTGGCTCTTCTCCAAATAATTTACCCATAGAAACACACTTCAGAGCCCCAATTTGGCCTCTCTCTGCAGTGTTGCACTGACATGACAGCAGGTACCATAAGCTGATGTACCCTTTACCCCGAGGACATGAGGAAGGTACCAAAACACCTTTTTCAATACTGACCTGCAATAAGACCTGTTATCAAAGCGACGCTGATGGTCAGGCAGAAGGCACCAATCTGAATCATGACCAAATAACCCATACTGAAAAGCAAAACAAGTGTTTCACTTTTTGAAGTTGACTGATGTATCATTAAGACTGTGAATTAATCTGTATCTCCACAGCATTTTACATCAAAACCTCCCATAACAATTCTGTTGTTCCAGAATCTCTCTGCAGCTGCAGATAGGTGTTTTAAGAAACCCTATCAGATGCCTAACACAGATTTCAGGGGACATATTTTGCCCTTAGAAACCATCGTTGTGGTAGTAAAATGCCACGATGTCTGTTTTTTCAAGAAGAACACGTAAGGCCCTTATGCTGCACTGTGGTTCCTTTCTGCATAAACTGAGAAAATCGGGGAACTTCTTGTAGGACATGACATGGGGCTGATCTGCAGAAATGAAATGCCAGTGCCAGATCAAAACAGCTACAGAGCATATCCTGAACTGAGCCTTCAGCTTTTGCAGCGGATCCCCCCAGGTGTATTTTCCAGCTCAGTGTCCACACTGGCTTTAGTCCAAGCTGGCATTCTTGCCCCTGACTCAGTTCAGTGACCACAGGGAAGTGCTGATTTCTGCCCCCCATGTTAGCATACAGAGGTGCCCAAAACATGTTACAAAAACCAAACTGAGACTTGGAAGGACACACATCCCCAGCCTTCACCTCCCGTATCTGCCACACTGAACATCAAATAAAAAGGGAGACAGAAAACAGGACCAAAAGCTAGCATGAAAGTTTTGATCCAAAGTCAGCTCAACACTCCAACTCTTTTTTACTGACTTTTTTGGACTTCAGAGATTATCTGACTTCAGAGATTATCTGAAGTTACCTGATATAAAACAATTGATCTGTGATGACCTTCTCTATGTATGAGAACTCTTCTCAGGGCACACTACAATAATGATTAGCTAAGTTTATTACTTAATAGCAAGAATTTATGTACCTTGGTAAATTATTCCAGTTTGTTATTATTAAGAGAATGACCTGGGTGAGAGCTCCAAGCACAGCAGGCATGCCAAAAGTGAAATGAACTCCAGAGGTATCATGAAGCTTGAGAGGATTCAGGCATCTCTGGGAAGAAGAAAAGATTTAACTGATATACAAGAACACAAGTTGATAATAGTGTATTGTCTATTGCAGACCTAGGAAATGAATTTTGGTTTTGCAAGTTGCAGTCCTGCACTGTGCTCAAAAGGCCTCAGTTCTCCCAGCTTTAATCTTTTTGAAAGAGAGGTTTCCCTTGAGGTATCCTCCATTGGAAAAGAAGTTTATATAGCTTATACAAAAAACAATTTCAGGGTTTGAGTACTACCTGTGAACAGTAAGATCCTAATATGGCTATCACGCTGGCAAGCAGACCCAAAACCATTGCAATCCAAGGGTACTCGATACTGTGTGCTGCATAACCAACAGCGACCCCACCAGCTAGAACTGCACTGTGGATATGAGTCTGTAAAAGCAAAGAACAAAAACATGGAGTGAGAGTTCAGTCCTCACATACAGCAGCCTCTGTATACTGTGAATTATGATCTGAGGATGTAATTTCTAAGTTGCAACTTCAGTCTTCTGCTTGGGAGGCAAATGACTGTCAGGCTGAAAACCTGGACTTGTTTTTACCAAGTAACTATTATACTTTTAGTGTATTACTGAGAGTCGCAGAAAAATCTCTTTTCCATGCAGTAATTTTCTCCCATTTCTTACCATCCTGAATTTCCCATCCTTTGTGGTCAGAACAGACAAGGCAAAGGCAGTGACAGCACTCACTGCAAGGCCAAAGTAGGTGTTGTAGATGACTCTCCACTTCTTGTCAGATAGTATAGAATTGAAGCTTGGCCAGAACACCCAGAGAAAGAGAGTGCCTTGGAGACAAAGACAAGCAAATATCATTACCTGCTCTAAACCACAGTGAATGAAGTACTCACTGTCTTTGAAGGGCTCCAGCCCACATTCTGCTTCCTCTGTAATCACACAATTTAAACAAAGGATAACACCTTATAGAAAGCACTAAGAGCTACCTGCAGTACCAGCACCTTCCAAGAAACACACCACTGTAATGTCAAACAGACAGGCCAAAGCACAGCTCTGCTGGCATCTGGCTGGTCCTTCACTGGCCTGAAGGTAGGACGCTCTTTTCAAGAACCACTTTAACATCAGCTTTGCCCTATCTATCATCCCCTTAAATGCAGGTTCAGATACAAGTAGGAACAATCCCAGTGTTGATTTCCAAATGATCAGCATCCTGCCTATTATGCACAGGCACCAGGGACCTGCTCCTTCAAAGTTTCTGCCTCTTCTCATGGAACTGTGGGATAACTGTTCAAAAACAGCTGCAAGAGAGAATGAAAGCCACGAAGGAAAACAGCTCACATGGTACAAATCACTATAAAGAAACCCAATATGCACTTTGGAATGTCTTCTACCTTGGCTGCCAGTACAACTGGTAGGGTTTGAAGAGAGGATGAACTGGGTTGTAAGACCAGAATCCTCTCTACCCCTACTAGAACAGTTAGAGACTAATAGCTTGATCTGAGGTTATCACACTTCACCAGCCCTGCCATTCACAGCTTCACTTTCTTGTTCTCTGTGAAAGGGTTATCTACCAAATAGCTACTTCCTGGTATGTGGGTCCAAAAGAACAGTTCACTTTCCTCCCGTAAGATCACTGCACGGTGTCACACTTCCATGACCACATAGGCTTCACTAACAACAGGAATGAAAACAGGCTCTTCTGCTTCTCTGACCCGGGCCCTGTCTGTCAGCATTGAGGAATCTGGGCCTCTATAGAAGAAGTACACCGCTTGGCAGGATACATCTTTCCCTATACGCAGATACACACCCGTAGATCAAATTCCAACCAGCAGAGGGAAGTAGGTGGCCTCACACTAAGCCAAGCTGGACCACACTGGGGAACCCGAGCCTCTGCCCGCAGAGCTGCGAACAGCTCCAAGTGCACAGACAAAAGTATCTGTTCAGCTTGGGAATAAAAGAGTCACACAGTGAAGACCTCAGCACCCTGCACACGGCTCTCAGAAGCAGGATGCAAAAGGGAACTATGAGGAATTTGCCTGCTCAGCTGCTCCTGTCTGCCCATGTTACCTGAGAAATTATTCGAGACATGGCATTATAATTACTCCAAAGCAAGCACTTGATTGTAGCAAGCTGCACTGAAACTATCACAAAGGTTTAGTAGTGTCTCGATAAGTTATATTAAAACACTGACCTCCACAAATTCTCCACCAAAGCAAGAACTCCAGGGACTCAAACCAGCATCATTTACATTTCTCTTTAACTGGGCAAAGACTAACTTAGAATTAGACTCTATGGGCCTTTGCAGAAAGATCTTTGTTCAACTGGTGGCAGTTACCAAATTGCTTCTTTAAGAAAAGGACTATAACTCCCATACATTCAGCCTGTCATCACTCTGATCCTTTCTCGTGTGCCTGTCTGTATCGTATTCCCCACCCTTCATCAGGCTTTTATCTTTCCATTTACACTACTAGGCAGGGGCTGCTTTTTTATATCTCTGTACGGCACCTTGCAAAACAAAACTGAGCCTTGGCCCCAGCTGGCAACCATACGCATTACTGAAATACAAGTAATGATCTCAGTTTTGGTGCACAGGTCCCTACCAATATGCCTAAACAAGCCTAAAGGGGCAAACTTAGCTGGGAGAGGGAACGGATAACCTGGCATAGCCTTTATGCTCAGCCTGACCAAAGCAAATGAAGCCACAGCCCCTGCAGGAGTGGTTGCATGCCTGGTAGGAAATACTGTGAGACTCACCAAGGCACTGTCAGAAACCACGAAGCACAGCAGCAGCAGCAGTTTTCTATGCTTGGCTGCATTCAGCTGTGCATTTTGGATACAACAGCCTCAGTGTGCTGCGGCCAGCCCCCCAAAACCTTCCTTATGGTCCCACCACAATCTCTTGTTCCTAGTGAGACATTAAAGCAAATGCCTTACCCAACATGGACAATAAATCCGACTTTGGGGTTCTTGCATTCTTATCAGTCCTTGGTGATGGCTCAGGGAAACATGAGGAGATGGCCAGACCAAAGTAGGCTCCAAACAGGTGAACGTGCATCATGCTGATACTGTCTGTAACCTGTATCAAGAGAAGACTCATAGAATGATTTGGGTTGGAAAGGACCTTAAGATCATATAGTTCCAAACCCCCTGCAATGGGCAGGGACACCTCACCCTAGACCATGAATCTGTAATTTATTTCAGGCGACAGGAAGACTTTGATGCAATTCCTGATAGAGTTGCTCATGTAACCTCCCTATAAGCACTTTATTTTCACAGTGCCTCAGTTTATGCACAAGCTATTTATGTGAAATTAACTCAGCTGAACTCAATGCAGCTCATAAACACACAGTTCCACTAACAAACCACCAAAAGGCAACATGCTAAAATCCCAGTGAAATTTTCCCTCATGTGCCTGAAATCGTATTACAGTACCCGCAGGAATGTGTTGTTCATCCATCTGCTCATACGGAAAACTATTAGCTCCAGAACTGTCATCAGAATTAATTGCGCAGGGTTAGCCTTCCCAAGAACAGCTCCAGTGGAGATGACCACAGCAGTCAGGCTCATAGAAGCCTCTATTAGCCTGCAATAAGAGAAAGAACAAAAGAATTCTTTAACATGACCACACCAGGGGCAATACAGAAAGAATGACAGTCAAATGTGCTTAAAATTATTCCAATTCTAACACGAGATAATTACCTTGCCAGATGACATTTATTTTGCCTTTGAAGAAGTAAAACAAATAAATCTATCAGCACAGAGCACTGGACACCAAGTACAATGAGCAGGAGGTTGAATCCGGTGGTGCTAAACCCGTATCTTTTCAGAAACATCAGGAAAAAGCCAAATCCAAAAATCATCATGTGGTTGACATCTTGGAAAGCTGCATGACAGAAAGGACCAAGCCAGCAGAGATGTTACTAATTCAGACTGGATTGCTGGTTAAAAACAAATCACAGTTAACTAAGAAGCCTTCAGATAAAAATTCAGGTGCCATTATTATTCAATAAAGAATTCCAGAACTTTCCTTCCAATCCATAAGTAATCAGAAAAACTTCCCTTGAGCCTGAGTTTATTTTTCACGAAGTGATCAGAATGGATAATAGGGAGGGGACTGAGGGATCAAAAAGCACAACAGAAATGAAGTACTTTCAGCAATGAAACTGGGCTTTCCTTTTTCCTCAGGTGAACTTAAAGAGCTTTAGTTGGACATTTCAGGGAGAGTTACCATGAATTAGTACTGATTCATTCCTTGAGGGCACTAGGGAAGAAATGAGTTACAAAGAGAAACCCATATGATGTTCTCATCTGCGGAGGGGAACAGAAATAGCTGTAGAAAGAGTTCAATAGGGAAACCAGCACCACTGAATAGAAGGCAGAGGCTGTCCAAGCCCTTGGATTGGTAGGTCTGAAAGCATCCCCCGGGACATGCAAACAGCCATATTCTCATATCCTTGTACTGGCCTGTCCCTTCTGCAAAATATCAAGCTGCTAGGAAGCAGATCTGTATTGTTTGAGCTATAAAACAGGGAGGGTAACACAAGAATGTCAGCTCTTATTTGCACAACACTGTAAATACATTGCACACTATGGCCATAGCATAATCTGCTAATACATTCCTTTGATCAATGCACAAAATGCCTCTCCAGAATATATTTAAATCCTTAATTCCACTGTATTAAGTTCATTTCTTTACATCAAGCACTCAAATAGAGACCAGTGCCATCCTGAACTCTTACTTCGTAGCCCAACAACCCTTTCGCACACCAAGACCACTTAACACAGAGCAGTGCCTGCCCTAAGGAGTTGGTTGCATTCATAGGGGTCAAGATGACCACAAACAGGCAGCAGAAAACAGACCAGCAATGCCATTTAGTATCACTTAGGTCTTTGTTCAATGTCATTGCCTTGATATAATAAATACACAGCATACAGGGCAAGGTAGGGCACTCAAAGGCCAGTAAACCATTTTACTTCCAATAAATACACAAACCCGCTGGATCCCATCTCTACTGCACTAAAAAATAAAAGTAGGCATTAACTCTTCCTTTCACAACAACGCTGCTCATCTTACCTGGGTAAGCCTTAATTAATTTATCATCATATGGGAACACAAAGTAAAAGAGGGCGATGAAAACAGCTTCCAGAGAAAGGATTAGCCACGGCACGCTGTTTCGGAAGTTGCGGTAACTGGAAGGCATTGTGCACCAGACTACATGAAGCAAAAACACAGCAATAATTTTGCCTATAAAAGTGTTCCAGTAACCTCAGACCAATAGAAATGGAAGTTTTGGGGGGCAGGAATAAAAACTCGAGAGAGATAAAAAGGCCAAGAGGCAACAGCAACTAACATTTCCTTATCTGTGGCGCAACAGGAGCCCAAACTTACCCCAACCAACATGGACTGAACTCAAGATGTACTTGTGAACAAGACATCTCAAGCTGTCAATGCTGCAGTGCTCCAGGACACCATCATGCAGTACTTCAGCTGTTGCAGAGCCTCACAAATCAACTAAACAGTGAGCAAAGAAGAACATGGACTCCTAAGAGTAGAATCTTGGCGTTTATGCATAATTGTTTACTACATTGCTTGTACCCAGCCTCTGAAGGCTCTTGGTAAGCCCCAGGCTGGGAAGTCACCAATTCAGAACCAAAGTGAGAACAAACCACAGACCTGCACCTTCCCGATTCTTTAATTCAAACCCAGCCTTCATCCAGACGTGTATCAACTTCTGCATTGTGGCTATAAGGTACTTTTGGAAAGGCACAGCTTTTGTTTAGTTGTTATTTTAAACCAGGAGCCATCAGAGCAAGCAGGGCTGTATGGTGGAAGTTAACTATGTCCAGTATATCCCTATGCACAGACATCGTGATTTGTTAGATAAGATCATTTGGTTGTTGAGGACAATTTATGAAGCTGTAATAGAATCATAGAATAGTTTGGGTTGGAAAGGACCTTAAGAGCACCCAGTTCCAACCCCCTGCATGGGCAGGGACACCTCACACTAAACCAGGTCACCCAAGGCTCTGTCCAACCTGGCCTTGAACACCGCCAGGGATGGAGCATTCACAACCTCCCTGGGCAACCCATTCCAGTGCCTCAGCACCCTTACAGGAAAGAACTTCTTCCTTAGATCCAATCTAAACTTCCCCTGTTTCAGTTTTAACCCATCACCCCTTGTCCTATCACTACAGTCCCTAATGAAGAGTCCATCCCCAGCATCCCTATAGCCCCCTTCAGATACTGGAAGATGCTCTGAGGTCTCCACGCAGCTTCTCTTCTTCAGGCTCAACAGCCCCAACTCTCTCAGCCTGTCTCCATACGGGAGCTGCTCCAGCCCCTGAGCATCCTCATGGCCTCCTCTGGACTTGTTCCAACAGTTCCATGTCCTTTTATATATTTATTTTATATATATTTACTTATATTTTAATATATTTTATATATGTATTTATATATTTTAATAGGAACATTACTATTCTCAGGATTCACTGTGGTTTTGGTAAACTGAAGCCTCTTTGCTCATAACTGTAGTTACGCCTCAGACTTTCTGCTTGAGGCCATTTCAAACCGAGTGCTTGCGTGCTGGCGTTTGAGATAGTAACAGTGCACACAGACGAGCAGAAAGCCACCTGCTGGTGACAGAAATATGTGTGAGACAAAAACACAGGCGGAAGAATTCCAGTCAGTTTGTATTTCAGGGCATTCCTCCTGCAAACCCAGGCTGGACAGCACAGTAAGAGTCTTCAAGCCACCTGTGAAAGGTTTGCATTTGTGGCAGTATCTTGCACCTTCCTCACATGCAATCTCAATTTGCTTTACCAGCTTTTACTTAGGCCTAACGAAACCCAACATTAACCATCCTTACCCCCTTCTCAGGAGCTCCTAAACAACGTTCCAAGGAGTTTGCTGGACACGCCAAGTGCTGCCCTGGTGTCACAAAAGTCCTGATCATCATTCTTTTGGTGGGATCTCGGGGGCAACTGAGACAGAACCAGAGCACCTGGTGAGCTTTCTCCAGACACGAGAGCAGCTGAAACAGCAGTTTAGGAATGGACTGAGCTGATGCAGTGTCTTTGTGTGGTTTATAAATGCAATGTACCCCATCAGCATTCATCGGTCTCCCGCAAGACTCCTTCCCTTCAGACTCACACCAGGACAGGAATGACCCAAACGCCTTCCATCATTTTGCCACAGTCAGATGAACACAGTAAGCTCTTAGGGCACTTGTCACCAAATCCCGTGACAGTGTTAACACTCGGGGCAGATACACCAAAGGCTATGCATCTGCCAGCGGTGTCCCTTACATGCCATGCTGTAAACGATGCTCAGACTTCCAGCTTCAATTCTCCCCCAGACAGGAAGAACCAAGCTCGGTGATCTCAGACCGGGTGAAGCACAAAGCAACTGTCACATTCGAGCTGCGCTACCAACAGCCCGTCCCCATCGACTGAGCTCAGCAGCCGCAGCCTTCCGTGCAGTCCCCTCTGCCCGTTTAATGCCCTATCGGAGCCCACACCCCGCGCAGTGCAAGCAGCACCGCAGGACCCTGGTTCGGAGCAGCCCGTTATCCCTCAGGGAGGCCTGGCAGGCGCACGGCTCCCAGCCCAGCTCCGGGCGCCAACGAGAGGTACGCT